TTAATTATAAAGGAACATATAATGATAGTTCTTAAAAAAATCAAACTGCAGAGAAAAGATAGAATATCAGAGTCTTCACTCCCCAGAATTAACAGTTGTTCATTTACTTGTATATCCTTCCAGAAATTTTGTGCTTATAAAATGTGTGTATCATTCCCTTCACCCCAAATGATATGCTATAGTTTTCTTCTACTTAGCCCATTTCACTTGGTAATATACCTTGAATATTTTTCTGTATCAGGATGTATCATTCTACCAAAATTTTTTAAACAGCTGGTAGTAGTCCATTTAGCCAATCTTCCAGTGGACATTTACAGTGTTGCCTAAACCTCCATGTTTACATATCTTTACATGTTTTATGTTTCCATTATTATGTTTTGAATTTTGTTAAAAATCTTGTAGAAATTTGTTTTTTCTCTTGTTATGTAAGAACCTACAAAATATTATTTATTTTGTCTCTTGGCTTGGTAACATAAAACATTTACTATCTTGCTGTTCTTAATAGAATAGGTTTGCCAGTCCTTGATCATGTATGCCATTGTACCTCCACTGTGTTTTCTTTGTGACACTTTTCACTCGATGGATTATCTGATTTACTTGGTTGTTGTCTGTCTTTCCTTGAACCACCACTTAACTCCCTTGAATACAGCAAATTCATGAGAACAGAGGCTTTGTTCGTCTCATTTATTAGTGTATCTTCATCACTTGAGGAGACACTCCATAACTATTTGTTCAGCAGTTAACAACTTAAAGCAGAATGAGGAGTCTTTTGGTTTGTTTGTTTGTTTCTTTATGATCATTCTAAATACGTAAAAATTTCTCTCATTTTTGTAACTTCAGCATCAATACATGCACCCTTAACGTATCTCATTTTTTAATTTTACTCATGCAAGATTATAGTTAGCATTCCAGAAATTTTGCCTTTGGGTTGAAAGTCCAGCTATCTAAGAATCTTTTTCTTGAGCTCATTTAATTATTACATAAGAATTTTATTAATGAAATAGGAATCATAAAACTAATCAATGCT